ATATGATCATGCATGCATATGACATTAATTATCACATTAATATTGTAATTTGGTAACATCTGAATGAACGAAGAGGGTCAAAATCCTTGATCCGGCCGTGATGTTACAACCTGTTTGGTTTATGGAGTGATGACATCCGGAATGAGTCGATGCGGAACGAACGGACTTGCGCACGAAAACAGACTTACTCAATGAGGGATGGGTTCAACCCATGACAGAAACCAAACGTTGTGGCTAGCTTTCGTATCTAGGATCGGATCACTCCACATCCATGCGTGAGAAGATCTTCTTAAGCCGGAATACCGGGGACTGTCTAGCCACCGTGGATTGATTTTTTTTTAACCAAACGCGCTGAGAATGTCCAAAGTCCAATCATCGAAAAATTAAACTTAATTTGGTCGATCGTACACGCCATCTGCCCGGGATAATAAACAATAAAAGCTGGTGCTACTCAAGCTTTTGACGTAGTACCGAATTTCCACGCGTGGAGCGCATCCGATGAATTTCGCCAAACCTCATTCAAACACAGATACGTAATTAGTTAGTTAGTTCATATCTTCACCACAAATGTGGACACACAATATAGTGATTGAAAGTAAAGTTGAGCATGCAGCCCAGCGGGCGAAGGCCGATATGGGCACGATTTTTGGCCCGGCCCGAGCACGACACGGCCCGGTCCTCACCCGTGCCCGGGCTGGCCCAAAGCCCGTAACAGGCCGTGCTTGGGCCGTCACCTCGGCCCGCCGGATGGCACGGCACGGCCCGCATTTTAGTGGTCGGCCCGGTGGCCACCTTGGCCTGCTAAGAGCCCAAGAGGCTATAACCCTAGCTTCCAATCCTTTTCCCAATCCCCCTCCGGCAGGCGGCACCCCCACGCCACGCCCGCACTCGCCACTTCCTCTCGGCCTTGCTGCATTACGCGGAGTCCAACCTCCTGCGCCGCGCCCCTCGACCCTCACTCACCGCTCTTCTTCTGCGGGACACCGCGTCCACTGCCGTCGTCGCATGACGCCCGCCCGCAGCGGCTTCGACCCCCACCTCCGCGCCTAGCGGCTCCCTCGGCAGCAAGCGGCGTCAACAACAACGGCGACCGGATCTCGGGGCGAGCAACCGAAGCACCGGGTCGACCTCCTCCTCCTCCGCCTCCTCCATGGAGCTTGTTGTTTCGCCGCCACCTCCATGCCCCCGTGCGAGACATAGGCGCGCCACCTCCGCCTCCGGCTCCACGCCACCAACACTCCACCCTCTCTCTCTTCGGGCCGCGGGCCGCCCGACCTGCTAAAAGGGCCCCGTGCTCTTCGGGCTGGCACGGCCCGAAAATCGGCCCACGTGCCGTGCCTGGGCCGTCAGCGAGGCACGATGTCCTGTGGAGGCACGGCACGGCGGCACGGTGGGCCATACGGGCCTGTGCCCTATCGGGCCATGCCGGGCCGGGCCGTGCCGGCCCGTTGCTCAAGTTTAATTGAAAGGGAATAATAAAGGAAGAGATGCATATGGGCCGTAAAGTCATTTTCTCTTGCCAGCCCAGCACGGACGAGCTCGGGTGCTCACAGATGGATTCCACGCTCCGGCCTGGACCGGCTCGCGTGATCCCTACGTGGAGGTGGGCCCTTCGTTGCCACGTGAAACCTTCCATGTCTAGACCAATGTAGCAAAAATTGATTACAGCGAGCTCTTAAGTTTAATTAAGTCATGTTAAGCACCTTTGGAATATTTTTTGTTCTCTACTGTATATTGAGTTCCTCTAGAGGTGTTTAATGACGTGATACTTTTCTCTCTATCATTAAGCATCTCTATAAAAACCTATGTATTTTAACACATAAATCACAGGTGAAGAATATTTCCTTGGGTACAATTTGCCTGTCAGAATGACAACCAAACAAGAGCGAGGTAGCAAAATCAATAGAAAAAAATCAATTAGGTGTAACTTAATTTAGTCATTAACAACATAATCAGCAAAAACCATTTAATCTTGGAGTAACAACATGCAAGAGGGACAAAATCAGATTCACTGATCACTTGGAGAGTGATCATGCATGACTTTCCTATCTGGCTGGCCTAGGAATTTGCGCCACGACAACCAACTGCAATATACTGCATAGACAACTGAGGAACGGCCTCACAACAGAAAATCTAGGATCCTTGAGCTATAATAAATAATTAAACTAAGGAGGTCTATCATTTGTACTCGACACACAGTTGAATGAGTTTCCATCTTCTCCTCACTCTCATTAGTAGAGCTAGGTTAAGGTAGTTAGCATCGGAGTTCAGAGCTAGGTTTACGTAGTTAGGATTGGAAGTTTTAGTCAAGCCGAGTCGAGTGTTGCCTTGAGGTTCTAGAGTTTGTCTTTAGGAAGTTCTGGTATAATCTCTTCTATTATATTATATCCTTTCCTTTTGAAAGAGTTAGAGGCTTGGAGCATTTCAATTCAAGTGTCGTAATCCTTTATTTTGGGTTAAGATTTTATTTTGCATTTACTTTATTCTACTTGCAAAATATTCTAGCCATTCCAAATTATATAATTCACTTTAGGTTTGTGTTCTAAGTCAAACTCATCTGACTTATCAAATCAAGTTTATACAAAAAATGCATTGACGTCTACAACATTAAATTAGTTTCATGTTTAAAAATTCAAATTTTTTAATTTTTTAGTGACTAATAGACCTAAGAAAACTCGGCCTACCCTGAGCCTGACGGGATTGGCCCGACCCGTTCACCTTATTGGACAAGGTATATATCGCTGTCCAGAAACATTTTTCTTGGACCGAAAAATTATTTCCATTTTTACACTAAAAACACACATGTAGCTTGCCTGGGCTGGGTCAGGCTCGAACCTTCTAGACCCAAAATCAGTAGGGCTTTTTGCAGGCCCGCGGCTTGGCCTGACTTTTGCTCAGGTCTTGTGACTAATCACACGAGCTAGAAATTAGGGTGCTATAGACTAGCCACTTATTGGAAACTCGTAGTCGAATTCACTAGTCTTGGGGCCGGTGAACGAGAGTTCTAAAATCTTCATCAATTTGTGCCTGACTTGACCGTCTTACCAAGCGTTGTTGATGTGTAACATTTCTTCTTTTGCCATGTAGTTTAACCATGTCATTCTGCAATATCTGATGTCTATTCTTGTTCATGGCTCTAGGGGTTCCATGCCATACTTAAAACTTCTTCATATCCTTCCCAGATGCTTATACCTAGGTTTATATACTCGGTATTGAGGGGGAGGGGTGTTGAATACTAGAAGGCAGGAATAGGGTTCAATTAGAGGGGTTTTCACGTAGCGCTATTACAGTGCAGCCAAGATATCATAATGTATTGGTTTTGTTTGCATTGTTGCATCTCTTTCCAACTAACATAAACACCCCTATAACCTCTAGGTGCTCCATCTTGTTTGCATATTCATGTTAGGGTTTAGTATGTTCACTAGCCAGAAAGGTATTTTGCACTATTTTTATGTGTAGTCCTAATTACATGACATCTTTTTCTGTTTCGTAAATAATTTTTATCAACAAAAAGGAGAACTTCATATACATTTGGTTTTTCAAAAGAATATATTAAATGAAAAAACTGATTGGATCAACCTATTAGATCCTCTAGAAAAGCACAATTGACATGAGAATGCCTTGTACATTTAAGTATCACGAGAATGGCACAATTGCACATTGCACTGTCTCTATCAACGTAAGTCATTTTGAACATTAGTTATGTTTCATAATTTGCAATATTTTTTACCTAAGACCATCAGAATCAGGCAAACGATTTCAATCAAGAAAATAATCCTTAATACCCACTCGCTCATTATCTTTGGTTAATCAAGCAAAGCGATTTCAATCAAGAAAATAATCCTTAATACCCACTCAATCATTATCTTTGGTAACCAAAGAACATATACAATTGAAAAAAATGGTCCACTCATTATCTTTGTTAACCAAAGAACATTTGCAATCGACCAAAAGGAGCAACATGTATCGACTAATCTTATTACCATACTATTCAAATCTTAACCTTGCTACCAATTTGCCATATCAATTCTTAGTTTCCTCTAAAATCTCATACCCCATGCGCACAAGTTTCTTTAGGGAAAAAAATGAAATGCTAATTCACCATGAATGTCTAAGGCTGAGTTGCATCTCATAAGCTCACGATGCTGCCAAGATATCAAGATATATATTTGAGCCAAATGACCAAAATTTCAGACTAACATAACAAGTTGCACTGATTCTTGAGTGATACAATCTCATGAGCAACGTGGTTGCATAGCATGACCATAAGTAAGAAGAGCTACCATGTCATGCTATGAGCAACACAACTAGCATGACTATAAGTACATAAGCATGAAGAGAATGAAACATAATTGATAAGTGCAACTATAATAACATCAGCTCTATCGATACAGTAAAGCTAAAACCTCAAATGTACTAGTTCTTGTTTGCATGTTTTTTAAATGAAATACTAAAAAATATTATCCCAAAACTTCTAGTTCCCTGACCTTTGCATGTTTCGATTAGAGCTTAGTAAGGTTTGTAGCCGGGAAACATTTGCATGTTTGGATTAGTGCTTAGTGAGGTTTGTAGCCCAGGAAATGTTTCCACTGGGTTTTTTTTTTTTTGTATGTAGCCACCACAAGCGCACATCATTTTGTTATGAACAACTTAAAATAGTTTTGGTTTAACCAAACCACTTTTACAAAAAGAAACAAGAATGAGGACTCATTAAACGCCTCGCATAGTTGCAGGTACAAAATTCCAGCACTGCTGCTCAAACGAGCAGTTGAACTGAACCAAATTAAGGACCAAATTGCAAATCAGAATGCAAAAAAGCTCAAGGGTCAATTATTGCATCGAATATGTTAATGTCAATAAATTTTTGCGAGCATATATCATGGGTATCTAAAAGATTTGGTCTTACACGTCTTCTGATAAAGATACAACAGAAGCAAGCAAATCTTTCTCTAACTGCCACTCATCCTTTATCGCTAGTCCCACGGGAATGCATGAGTGAATCACAGGGCGTTTATCATCCGCTTCATTTCCGAAGATCTCCTTGGATCAGGCTCGGCTATAGCCCTCTCAGTCAAGACATGCTTTATCCGGCACATTGATTTTTTTACCTGAAATTATTTAAAGCAATTTTTTTTGTCAAGTATCAGATGTAGAAAAATAAATAGCATGGAAAAAACATATGCTGGACATACAATGATGAGAAATGCAGAGCGCATCAACAAGAACACTGTTTCAGTTTTTTTTTGTGTGTGTGTGTGTGTGTGGGGGGGGGGGTTGCATTTTTCTTTGGTATATTTTAAAAATGTTAATAATTATTTTGCGTGGTGAGGTCACCTTGCACATGTTGCCGTTGCTTCTAAAATTTGTTTTTAATAATTCTCATGTTCCCCAAACAAAATTTAATTCTCAACTCTATCTGTATATGCTGGGAACTAACAGGATACTATTAGTAGGGGAGAATTGGCTGTTGGACATGCAAAGTGATGGTCATTAGCGGCGGACACCCACTTTTAGCATTTTGAGAATACATTACAGTTCGGTGAAATTGAGCCCACAGGGACACCATGGATGGACGATTCTGCCGGTTGAGAGAGAGAAATTTTCGTTTTGGACATCCGGTGTCCACGAGCCCACAGTTAGGTCCGCCCTCTCCCTCTCAGCAGCGCACAGGCCCCACCTGTGATCTTCCTCCTCCTCTTCTCCTCTTCTCTTCATTCGCGCTGCGCTTGGCTGCTCGTGCTGCTTGCCGCCCACGCACAGCCACCTCACCCCACTTCGCCCTCCACTCCCGGACTCCCGGTCGCCCACTCCGTGTCGACACCCAAGCCCCGCCAGAAAGAGAGCACCGATGGCGGACGCAGCGTCGCTCTCGCCACCGGAGCCGGGAAGTCACGGGCCACCTTGGCCTTGATTCGCGCTTGATGCGCGTCAGCCTTGAATAACGAGCTCCGCGACTTCGCGCGCTGCCTCGCTCGCTCTGCGTCGACCACTCCACCTCCCGCGCATGGCGGCCGTGGGCTCTGGATGGTCTTCCTCCTCGCCGTCCACGGCGCCCATGGCCGTCCGCCTCCTCCCCGCCGCGGCCCTTCGGCCAGGCGGAGGTCCAGTCTCGCCGACCTTTGGCGGCGTCGCTCGCCTCGTCTCCCTCGCCGCTGCTGCTCCACGGCGGGCGGGCTCCGCCGCCCGCTGCTCTACCTCGCGTGACCTCCGCCACGACTCCGGGGCGTGCGGGTAGGCGGCTGGGGATGTGGGAGGTGCCATAGGGCCCGTCAGGGGTCGTTGGTCTCATTCCGTGGTGCCTGTGAGCCGCGGCCGCCGACCGACGGAGGGCGCAGCGCGAGGTGGCGCGTCTTGATCGCAGGGCGCGGCGTGGAGGCTGGAAAGCGGGCGGGGTTTAAGGCGAGTCGCCGCAGCGTGGAGCAATGAGGCGTCTTGAGGGCGGTAGTCGCCAATTCGCCCGCGTGGTGGCGGGGCCTTTCGACGGTGGTGGTGCTTTTCTCGACAATGGAAGAAGAGAAGAGAAGAGGAGGAAGAAGAATATGACAGGTGGGGCCCACGCGTCAGTGAGAGGGAGAGGGGCGGACCCAACTGTGGCTCAGGGGCACCGGATGTCCAAAACGAAAATTTCTCTCTCCTCAACCGGCTGCAACCGGTCCGCACTTTTCTGTGGCCTAATTTCACCGAACCAGTGTCTTACGGCAAAATGCTAAAAAGTGGGTGTCATGACTAATGACCATCACTTTGCATGTCCAACAGCCAATTCTCCTAGTAGTTATTATGAGCCATTGTCTTTTAACACATGAACTTTACTTGTGGATTACATTGGTTACATGGTTCAGTTATCAGGCACCCAGATTCAAGAATACTATTCACTAACATACAAAATAAAAGCGAGAAACCACTTAGTTTAGTCAAATGTATTGGATTGTGCTTTAGACAAGATCAATAGGAAAATAAGTGTTTAGTATGCTATATTTTCAATTATACAAGGACAATAAATCAGTAATAACTAGGAAGCTCGTGAAAATGAAATCCCAAATGTAAACAGTGAGCAAACAAAAACCAAGGCAGGGCCAGGAAAAGTGAAAAATATTTCTAAGGAAAAACTTTTGATATGTAGAAGAATTGTAATGGCATGGCTTCACACCAACATATCAAACAACCTATGATCTTACAAAGCATGCCATAGTTATTTGATGAAATCAAAGCTGTTTTAACTATTGTTAGACATGACATCAAAATGATTCTGCAGAAAGCAAATACTGTGCAGTTATTATTGTTGGCAGTCAGATACCTTGGAAATTCGTTCTGGATTTGGAAACCGCATGCTCTCTGAATGCAGCATCTGACGCTGTGTCATTAGCATGTTCTTTTCTTTTAGAAGAACATACCACAGCTTCTGAAGGTCATCCCAAGATTTTAGAGCGCAATTCAGAAGCCTTCCAACTGCGACCTAGCAATTGGACGCAACAAAGAAAAGGGGAACAGTAAGCTTTCTAGAGAAGTAGTGTTCAAACTTTAAACAACAAAAATGTGTGGAAATAACAGCGCAAAGTATCTAAAGTTATGACTTCCAAAATTTGCCAAGCCATGATTTTCGCTCTTATTTGGTTCGCTGGCAAAACTTGCCAACCTCTCACATTTGGCTTGCCAAATCTATGGCAAAGTGTTTTTCCATACTTTTGTTTGCCAAATCTTGACATGGCAAAATTTGGTCATAAAACCAAGCAGGCCCGAAATGACCATAAGGAAAGGACCAGCTTGTCAACAGTTACATGAGTAGTATTTGCATTATGAAGGCAAGCGGGTTCAAACATTTCCGTAACACAACCAAAGAAACCGTCTCGATCACATGTTCATATCCTAAGGTTTACTTGAACACAAGCAACAGCAGGCCCATAATTTTTCCAGAGCAAACAAAGCCCATTTGTCAACACCACATTGGGAGTTCCTCACAAGACATAATCTAGTGTTTATCAAAGGAATAGATAGAAGCATATGTACTGTCCTAATCATGACTCGTTTGGGGCCTACGACTAATAATGATTCAGATATAAATGTCAGCCAAGTATACAGCAACTTTTACATCTAGTGATTCAGATATCAAATGTCAGCCAGGTACACATCAATGTTAATTTCCCAAAGAACAACCTACTAGCATATTTTGCCGCAGACTAGAGCCTATGCAAACGAGTGAGGATTGGCCAATTCGAACTCATATCAGGAACAATAGCGCACTTAAATCAACAGCATACGCTCCAATCAACACAATCAATGGGTTGGCTTCGTCGACCATCTGCGCTAGCCACAGTACTAATCAACGAACACTCCAAACCGATGCGCTGCGCGAGGGAGAATGAATACCGTAGTGGGGAGGGGGCTTGTCCTCCTCGGTACTCCGCTCGACCTCGAAGAACTCCTCGAGCGGGTTCTGCGCCTTCCTGACTGCCGACGTCGACGCAGCAGCGGCGGACTCCGACGCGGCAGCGGCAGATGAGAAGAGCCGCCTCCCGAGCGCCATCGACAGGGACAGCATCACGGCGGCAGCGGTGGCGGCGTCCTGCAGCACGACGGATCGGATCAGGGAATCCCAGCACGGGAAGAGTCCGATTCGAGGACGGGAGGAGAGGAAGGAGGCGAAGTGAGATACCGGCGGCGGCGGTGAGTGATCCCGAGAGAGGTGGGGATGAGAAGGGTTTAGATGCGATGCGACATGCGAGAGGGTTTTCGCTTGGAAATCTAGCGCTTCTACTCGAGTAGGCACTGACAGTGTGGACCCCTCCTGTTTCCCTCTGCAGCTCTGCTTTATGCAGCTCCAGGTCAGCATTCGTTGCAGAGTTACAGGGGAGACTGAATGGGAATATGGGATGAAGGAATCATGAATGCATGTCGAATACGGATTACAAACCGTAGTTAAAAATGGGATGAAATGCATGTCGAATACAGATTACAAACCATAGTTAAATTTTGTTTTAATAAGTGAATAACGTTATTAACAAATAACAATAGCAACAACATTGAGCAACGATCCTAGCATTACTCCCTTCGACTCAAAAAAAAGAAATGTAATTCTCATTTTCAAAGGTCAAACAATTTTAAGTTCAATCAAATTCATATAAAAGTTATTCGCATTGCTGACACCTAATATGTATCATTAGATATACATATTAGATTAATCATAAAATATATTTTCAAAGTAAGAACTATTTATAGGCATAAATGTTGATGCTATTTTAAGAAAAGATGAGGTAGGTCATATACTAATCATGGCTTTGGAGAGCTTTCAAAATGAAAATGCCAGGGTTGTTCCTCCTACAAAATGTTACATCGTATCCTGAGACATCCAGCGCACTTTTGCCCAAGCAATAATTTAGAATACACAGCAAGGTCGCCACGTCGCCTCTGTTTCTTGAGACAACAATCCGTTACAAGATAGACCATAAGAGATCTAATATTATCTAACAAATTTCTCTTCCCAAAATTTTTAGAGCAACCATCCTCCTTACTCTAGCTCTTTGCCTATGTTGTGAAGGAACACACTTTCTACTCACCACATGTCCTGGAGCTTTTGGCCAGTTAAATGTATTCCAGGGAAGTGTCCCCATTTTTTAAGTTTGCCAAAACCCTGCAAAGGCAGGAACGGGGTCAATGGATAGCCATTCATCCTCGGCCCCTGCCCCTACCCCTCCCTCCACCCCTTCCTCGACCGCCTCTCCCTCTGCCACCACCGCCTCTACCTTTGCCGCGATTTCCACCAAACATATAGAACTCGGCTTTTCCCTGCTTCAAACCCAGGGGCTGTACACCTCTCTTTTTGACACCCTTGGGTTCATCGTCGCTAGACGATTCTTCTTTGTGCCTTCTTCGGCTTTTAGAGATAAATGAAATCTCCCGTGAGCCACCAGGTCCATACTTGACCGCATCAAGTGCTTTCGAGTTCTGTTTCCTTTCCAGGGCAGCTATCCTATCCCCAAGGGGAACAGCATCCTCGTTAGATAAAGAGACACTATTCACAAATGCTTCAGCATGGTGTTCATCCTTGACCTCGTATAACCTGAAACATATAAAGCAGTAAGGACATCTTCGATGTACCAGTAGAATAGAATGTACATCAAATGAGACAGAATAGTCTTAGCTACTCAAATTTAGAAATGCAATAGGTCAGCACGAGACTGAACCAAGAACTCTGTAACTGAGAATTGCAGTTTTTTTTTCCTGGAAGTTAATAATTTTTCATGTAAGTTGACTTTCCTTAAGAATTGGAAATATGCACTGAAAATACAAGAAATGATTCAAAAAAAATTGAATAAAAAAATTGCATCTTCTAGTACCATAGGCAACATGGCAAAATTCCAAAATGGAAAATGCGCAGTTCATGTTATAACCAAAATGAAGCAAGATCTCACCTTATACGCTTTGAATTATGCATGCCATCATCACTGTCAGATTCTGCTGAAGCATCAGATGCATTACCATCAGATTGTTGATCATCCTCACTAACACTATCAAAATGTTCTTCAATTAGGCGAGGCTCCTTTGTAGCTGCTTGAGGATGAAGTGCAAGATATTCTTTTGATTCTTCATCAATTTCAAAATCCTGCCCATAAGACCAATGGGATTAGAAATCAAGTATCATAAAAAAAATTAGTACTGATTAGCTTACAATATGATAGAAGATTAAATAGCACAAGTAGGACAAGATTCAAGCTGTAGTGGTGGCCACAGTAAGGGTTAGATGCAGAAAATGGTTAAATTACAGCTGAAATTGTCCACATTCAGTTTCTCATACAAAAGAGTGGATCATGAACAAAAGCTGTACAGCACACATCAATTAACAAGAATGTGTACACAAAGTTTCACATGCTAAAATAAACAGCAGCAGCATTGCACAAGCATAAGATCAGGTAAAAAACAGGATAAATGGACTGAGATATGCTGTAATTTCTTTTTATATACCACTACCAACATGGACGGTACAAATCCATCTGCAAGACTGCAATCTAATAGCAGTACTGAAAAACAACCAGTAAAATTCCACACCTTATTCACAAACATTTCTTCGAACCGTTTATCATGCAAAATCGCCTTATTGAGTTCTAGTTTTCTTTTCTTCTTCTTAATACTTGATTTATCAACATTCTCCGTATCAAGATCTATTTCATCTTCCATTATACTGTCCATAATATGCCTGTTAACCTTCGGTATTTTGACGACTTGCTGCACGAGAAAAAAAAAAGAAAGTTCATCAGGTTTGTAATATAGAGCCTGTACCACAGATAAGCAGGTGAAAAACATACCGTTATACGAGATTTTCTCTGAGCTTCTATTTTCTTTTTCTTTATCTCTTCTTTAATTGTCTCGTACTCAACAGGAGCAACTTCTGCCCGTTGCTGCAAAGAAATAGAAATCCTGGTAAATACCGTTTCGTGTTTTTTCTTTAACCCATCCAACCATACAGAAAAATAATATAACCAGAACATAATAGAGATCATTTATACAGTAGATGCCTAACAAAGATCTAATTTACAAAGAACAACCTAGTATGTCAACAAAGGGAAGTGCCTTAATTTCAGCAAATCAAACATCTAGTCGTAACTAAATGAATTGCTAAGTATAATAGAGGAAACAAAATGTCCAGCACAAAATAAATGGCTAAATATTCTAAAGAAACTCTAATGAACTAATGTAAATGTGTAAAAGCAGCCAATTTTACCTTCTTGTATAGTTCATAACGTACGACAAATCCATGTAAATATGCTCTTACAGCACTGCTGCCAATGTATTGAGTAAGGTTCAGTCGCTCCATCTCTTCTTTAGTCAAGAACTTGTACTCATCAAACAGTGTTGTATCTGGTTTCTCTTCCATCTCCTCCTATAAATGGAGGAAGGCAAATGATGAAATGTTCACTTAAGGATTACTAGATTAACTACTAGAAAGCAATTGAAGCAGTCTCACGCACAGTTAGGTTATCAAGATGTGAGCACCACTTTGGAGCAGGTCCAAGTGCAGGAACGAAGTGGACAGGTATCTGGCTATTGTCCAGGGCTAATAGCATTAAACCACTATTCCGGAAGATGCAGACATCGTTTATAGCACCACCATCTGGTTCAATGCTAGTCATGTTATTTCCCTGCAGAAAAGATTGAGGGCATCATGGCATCATCCAACAAAGAGCTTCAAATAATGAAAATGCATATTGAAATTGGACAGATATTAAGGAATGAGTTTCACCAAAGAAATAAAATGTTACGAAATTATACAGGTTTATAATGGACTATGGCAGCCCATGAGAGTATTGTTATTGTTCTTTAAAATAGAATTGCAAATTACGGTTCAAAAAGACATACACCTTTTCAAGCATCGCTTTGCTAATTTCTAATAAATTATAAATCACATTATTTGGTTTGCCTACTAAATGCATAAGAGCTCCCAAGTCCTTGAACTGGGTTCAGAGCAAGAGTCAAGCAGGTATGAAGACCTAAAAATGTCGTTTCAGTTTTCCTATCGCTGTATTGTAAAAAAGGGTTTGTTGTTGTTGTATTGTAAAAAAGGGTCATGTTAGTTCATGTGTAAAATAAATATTCCAGACTATCAAATTTATTTATTTATTTATTTTTGAAACTCAGACTATCAAATTTATTGTTAAAAAAAATGGAATAAATTTTAGTCCCATGAGAAACATATTCCTCATACATATACATGTAGCCTGGAACCACACATAATTTGGTAAAACTGTTAACTCCCATATTCCCTAAGAATTTGCTGATATGTTGGGAGGTACCTGGGTTAGAAGTGCCACGCAAGTATGCAACTACATGCTTCCCAAATAAACCCAAAGTGAAACAAGGGCAAATACGCAATAAAGGTGTTAGCACAACCTAATATACAAAATTTGGGTTCTATTCTAATAACTTCCCTAATTTGCTTCAGATATTGAGGCTATGGCATGCATTACCAGTACAGATTCAAGTGTTACAGGAACAATTCATGATACATTCAGACTGCACCATAATAAAAACTAGGTTAGAGCCTTTTAAGGTATAACCACAGCCATGTTTGACTTCAAGAATGGCAAGCGAGCAAACATCCAATGGATCATAAAATATCAGTATGTCTTAAATTAGAGTTTGCTTTAAATCCATATCAAACCCAATATGGACGTGTCAAATCACACCATGAATAATAATGAAGAAAACATTTGAACAAAATGGAAAGGAAAGAACTCACTGTATTAGGATCCCAGACTCTCACTATGTGCTTATCAGCAGTGATCAGTTTAGGCTCAGTAGAATTAAGTGTCTGGTGCCACTTGATATTTAATATTGGGCTACCATACCTGAAACAGATGATAACAGCAACTACATGCTCAGCGAAAGGTACAATATGTAACTCAAGAAGCATTCAACTATTGATTGCATTTCAAACGTAATAGAGATATGGCCCCACTGTTTACAGCTTATTCTTTCAAGACTCATTAATAAAAACATACAGATTCAAAAAACTTATTGCAGCAGTTGTATCTGTTAATTTATTTGAACAAAACGGGTGGAATGTGTGAAATGACATGATATTAGGATGGGGAAATTAGAAAAGGTAAGGCCCCGTTTGCAGGTGGAAATAGAGTAAGAAAAACCCATCTACTCATCTAGTGAGAGAATTCCTTCAGAAGGTTCATATAGAAATGGTCGAATGGCTGGAACTAACTTTTGATAATGATTAACAAGTGAAAACCCTTTCTTCATAAGAAACACAGGACTTACATGTGATCCTTAACTCGCAGAGGAGAAGACATGCGTAAATCATATATTGATATCTGCAGAAAATCCCAAAATTGTTGAAGCATACTGAGACTAAAAAAAATCATGAAATTAATATAGCAATTTTTAAAGGGATAGCTGTCATGTTTCTATAGAAGAAAAAAAATCCATAAACACCACTAGATTAGCATACAGCACACCGCTGTTAAGTACAATAGCCAAACTGAAGAAATGGGAAGTGGTAGAGCACAGAACTTCCGTGTAGAGTTTTGCTTAATGTAAAAATAGTTTCCTCAAAACCCGTTGGCATCTGAATCCCTTCATGGTTTGTGGCCGGTCGTTGTCATTTGTTGCCATGCATCATGTTGGTTGCATAAGGTTGTTTAAGACATCTTTTAGTGGTTGCTTTGGTCACGTAAGGTTGTTGTTTTAGCTGTAAGGTTGTTCTGGTCGTGCATGGTCATGCAAGGTGGTTGTTCTGATCGTTGTGGTCATGTAAGGTCGCTGTACTTTGCTATTTTTGCCTTACTTAGTTACTTCTCTCTTAATGCAATGACATGCAGGTCTTCTGCATGTTCGAGAGAAAAAAAAAAGTAAGCTAGATGATGCTGAGTAAATAAGGTCAATTATTTGAGTGTCCAAAAAAGCTGTCGTTAAGACAAACTTCCCAGTTCTATGTTGGGTATTGAGCACAAATAGGATGGCCCGGGCAATAAGGTCCACCCAAGACCCCACTGTCTGAACAACCAGTAACAACAAGAAGTGAAATGCACAAAGGTGGAATGCATGATGCCATTTTCCCCATTTGCTCCTTAAGCAAAAGCTATTAATACAATACAGAAGAAGTTATATTATCCAACTTTGTAGGTGACAACATCAAGGAGCACACTTCAGAAAGAACATAACGGCCAAACATGCAATAGCCTGTAATGGCACAATTATCATGGCATAATTTTATTTGAAGTTACAAAGGACAAACAAAGTAGGCATGTAGCTATCACAATGTTAATTTACATAGACTTAAAGCAGAAAACAGAGGCATAAATGGTGCAAAACGGGTTAAATTGTTCTAAGGATAGAAAAGGTGCAAAATATACTATGCATAATGCAAAACACAGACTTCTTAATTTCTGTCATGGTAGTAGGGGAAATAAAAAATAACTAGGCACATTGAGAGAGAGAGCAGTGAAAATCAATCGGGAAACAGATAATGACAACACATACCTTTCCTGTACTGGTCCCAACTGCCATAAGGTATCCCTGATCTTCGTCAAATTGCAAAGACGTGACCTCCTGCAGTTTCAAACATGAGAGGCAGTTACAAACTTAAGCATCAGCATACTAACTTGCTGTCAAAGTAAAACATGAACCTGATAATAATCTTCAGAAGAAACAGCTGGAATATTAATTCTGCCAACAGAAGTTTTTTTCCGCATATCAAAGCACTCAACCGCACCATCCTCACCACCACAAGCAACAAGCCCATGGATCTTACTGGGAGCACAGCAATTAATCTTGGAGTTAACAATACTTGATAATCTAGTCACCAGCAAGCCATGTAAGTTAAGAAAAAATTATTACCTTCGTGTAACAGCATTTATTGCTGGTGATTGGGAGGAAAGAGAAGCAAGGAATCGTCCCTGCAGAAGTGATTGGGAGGAAGTGAATTCAATAAACCAACAGAAGGAATATGTGCATATAATGCAGTCACAACCAGAATTGATACCACCAAAATCAAATAAGGCATATGTAATATAGCTAAGTGGAACACCATTCAAAATAATATGCTTATGTGCTTATGATACATGTGGATCTTTGATTCTGTACTAGGTGTCAAATAAAAGCGTAAAATATGATGCTTTGCTGATGACTAATAAAAGATAAACAAACTATTCATATCTGTACGACTAATTAAGCACTGAAATTAGACCTGCTCTAAGTTGATCCTGTACAGATCTGGTGATGAAGCAGCACATAGCAAGTCGCAGGACAAACAATCGTAGGCCATGTCCCTTCCCATTCTGTCAATGAATCATTATGGGGATTAACAATATGTAAGACAGATATTTGGACAAGCACTGTTTTTACAACCTTTGAAATGATTCCCTACTACTAGTTGTTATCATTAAAGAATGGACTTCTCTGTTTAAACTCAGAATCTGAGAAGAAATACACTATGTGTTAAATTAGTACAGGATATTTTATAATGCGAAAAAACTTATATTTCCCTAATTCTAAAGAGGAAGACAACTAAATCCACAGAGGTGAGTAGTTGATGTTACTACCTCACAGGCACACTGCACGTCTTAAACTAGAAATACACATCTATGAACGGTCATTGAGACATAAAAGTACTCTAGTAGCCTAGTAGCGATGCTAACCTTGGAATTCTCAAGCTATAATGGCTTCCATACTTGGCGTGCAAATTTACAGAACGGTCAGCACACAAAAACGCAAGTTTTGAATAGTCATCACCAAGGATCTGAAGAAACAAACAATCAAGCATGTTATGTTAGATATAAAATACTAGAGCAGTTCTAGTCGGTAATAAAAGGGAAGGAACAGATTGTTGACACTTTCATAAGCATATTATTAGGAAATTTTGAGCAGTGAATCTCCTTTCTCCTATGGATGCATCAACTGGTAATAACACCCACATTGCTTGAGGAAATGTAAACGGCAACAATTTTAACTAATAATAAAATATTAACTCCAGTGGTACTAGATAAACAACCATGTGTGTTCTCCACCATCCCTCAGTTACTTCTACTGCGCATGGGGAAAGCTAAAACCACCCTCTATGTATAGAAGTCCAGGTGACCAGGTGCATAAAGAGAAGAACCTCTAACCTTATCGACAATTACTTAAAAGTTATTAAAACTCATGAGCCTGGAAATGAGGTTCAATGGGGGTACCTGGAAAGTTACAATTTCTGAGATCAAGTGCCGCTCGAACTTCATCGACAATTCCTTCAACTCATAGACTTTAACTTGCGGGGGGTAAATACCTAGCAGATAATAAGACACATAAGCATGCCGCACTGCCACTCCCTTAACAGCACGCGAATTAAGCTAAACATAGGCATGTGGACCTTAATAGTTAACACACCTGAGGCGATCACGTACTGGTCATCGGGCGTCAGCTTGATCTTGGTGGTGGCGGTCTCGAACCTCAGGTCATGGATCAAATCCAACCTCCGCTGATACTCTACAACCAAAACCAGCGAAGTTTCCCCCCTCATTGGTACCCATAAAATCTCCACACACAGAAAAGGGAACGCCGGCGGGTGGGTTCCCGAGGTACCTTTGTCCTTGCGGAGGGCGCGCTTCTTCTTGGCGACGACCCAGGGGGCGACATAGCGGCTGCCGGTGAGCGAGTAGAGCTTGACCCCGTTGATGGAGGTGGACTTGAGCGTCCCCGCGCCGTGGCTCGCCGCCATCTCCAACGCGGTCGCCGGAGCCCCTTTACTCCACGCTCCCCCTCGTCGTCGATGGCGCCGTCGCGGTGGCGGTGGAGGTGGCGGGCGCTGCTGCTGCTAGGGTTTAAGGAATTTGGAGGGAGTCGGAGTCGGCGGCTGTCCCGGCGCTGGTGGTGCGCGCGCAGGGGAGAGGAGACTGCCCTTGTGCAACGGACAGGACTCGGGAGGCGCGGCGGCGCGACGAAAGCTCTCGCAGCCGTTGGATTGGGGTGTCCGGCCGTTGGATGATCAACTCATCATCTATTCATCTGTCGTGGTTGGGCCTCGTCCTTCAACTTCAAGTGCTGGTCGTGGGCCATTCGATATCAGCCCATGAGTCCGGAACGACGGGCCTGTCATTCACTCATTCTCACATCCTCCACTCAAAAAAAAAAAACTCATTCTCACATCCATCTCTTCTCCTCCCTCACAATGCCTAGCGCCCGTACGATCGGATGGGACATCGCGTCTGGATGCGGCTCCGACACTTGTGCCGCTTCCGCGTTCGCATCCTGCCGCACACCCCGCGTCCCACGTCTCGCCCCCCCCCAGCACCCACGCCCACGTCCATCGTAGGGACTCGCGCCCCGCATAGTGACAGCCACCAACCGCGCGCATGCAATACCCCGATCCACTTTTGCAACATCCAGATGAAACATTTGCAACATACGTCTAAAACAGATAAAAATTTGGAACATACAATTGAAACACCATTCAACGTCCCGATCTACTTTTGAAGCATCCAGATGCAACACTTGCAACATACAAAAAGAAGATAGATAAAACACTTGAGACATGCGTCTGAAACACTTGCAACATACATGTTCAAAAAACAGATGAAACATTGGAGATAGACGCTTGCAACATATGTGTACAACCATCGCAACATATGCAACATTTTGATCTACTTTTGTAACATTCGTATGAAACAATTGAAACATACAGCTGTAACAACTGAAACACTTGAAACATGGGCTTGCAAAACATGTCTAAAAAGCGTCTAGAAACACTTGACACACAGCATCGTCGTGCGGCCATGACCTACCTGGTGAGCAACTGTGGTGAAGAAGGCTCATTGGATGGTGCGCGCCCGTACGCTCGCCATGCCCACCGTCGGCCGATGGAGAGGAGACGCTGTCGGAACTAACAAGGACGTTGCCGCCATGGTAGGGGAGGGTCAGCAACTTGCTTGAATCTCGCAGGGGTGGGGAGAGGGCCGCCGAATCCACGGACGTTGGGGCGCTCCCGATGGATGAGGACATAGGGGTGGGGGAGGAGGACGCCGGGTGGGGGAAGGAGTCGCCGGGGTGGTAGAGGAGAATGCTGGGGTGAGCGAAGGAGACACCGAGGTGGAGGGAGGAGGACGCTGGGTGGATGAGGGCGCCGTCGCCGACCAGGGAAGCAGCTATGGCCGCGTCATCGAGGAAAAATGAGGAGAGGCGCAAACACTGCGGCAGTAAGCGGTGGAAAGCGTTCATCCGTCCGGACATCTTAATCGTATCATTATCGAAAAAAAACAATGTTAGTCTTTCTCTTCTGTCCAATGGAACGTGTTATGTTCTACTAAGGGGGTGTTTGAATCCAGTGACTAATTATATATAAAAAATATTAATATTTATAGTATATAATTAGTATCATTAGATAGATCATTGAATATATTTTTATAATAAACTTATTTAGAGATATAAATATTACACGTATTTTTTAGAAAAATCTAGTCAAAATTAAGAAAGTTTGATCCGCACGCATCTTGTAACCCTTTTTTTTAACGGAGGAAGTATTTGGCAGAGATGCCGTTGAACGCCTGAAAGGGTCGAGATGGCGGACTAGAGGGGGGTGAATAGTCTTTTCTAAAATTAATCACGTCGGCTAACCGATATAAATGCGGAATTAAAACAATCGGTCTAGCCAAGACTACACCCCTCTATATATGTTCACTAGCACCTTGCAAAGATACTAATAAAGCAACTAAGGTGCCGGGCTAGCTAGAGCTCTTCTAAACAATTCTAGGAGCAAGGCCACACAAACGTATGCCACTAGTACTTTAAGTAACAAGGGAGCTCCTACACATGCTAGTAAGCAAAAGCACAAAGCTAACTAAGCTCACTAGTAATGTTCAATAACAAGGTAACCAACGCCTAATTAGAGAGCGTAAAAACTTAGCTACACAAACTAAGCAATGTGACTAAGAAGGTTACTAAAACCAAATTAGCCACGCAAGGGAGCTACTTCTATGCTACACAAGCAAGAAGGTAATTAGCTAGCTACACAAGCTATCTAATTACAAGAGCAACTACACAAGCTTAAGATATATATATAAGTAATTGCAAGGTTGTGTAATGGGGATGCAAACCAACGGGAAGAACAAGGTTGACACGATGATTTTTCTCCCGAGGTTCACGTGTTTGCCAACACGCTAGTTCCCGTTGTGTCGACCGCTCACTTGGTGGTTCGGCGGCTAATTAGCATCACCCGCTAAGCCCGCACGTCGGGCGCCGCAAGAACCTACCCCTTGAGTGAGGGTAGCTCAATGATACGCTTTACTAAAATTGCTCTTCGCGACTCCCGTGGGGCGAGCACAAGTACCCCTCACAAGCACTTCTTCGGAGCGCCGCACAAGCTTCTTGCGCGCTTCGATGGAGACCACCACCAAGCCGTCTAGGAGGTGGCAACCTCCAAGAGTAACAAGCACCACCGGCTTGCAACTCGATCACCTAGTGCCACTCGATGCAACCTCACGATGCAATCGCACTAGAATCGCTCACTCACACAATCGGATGATCGCTATCAAGTATGTGTGTGATGGAGGGCTCCCAAGCACTCACAAGCATGGACACTAAGTCCCTTGAGGTGCTCAGCCCCAGCCATGGCCGAGGGCCACTTCTATTTATAGCCCCAAAGGCTAAACTAGCCGTTACCCCTTCACTGGGCAACGGTCGGGCCGACCGGACGCTCCGGTCGTGTTGACCGGACGCTGGACCTCAGCGTCCGGTCGTTTCCAGTAAGGTACCGACCTCGACCGGACGCGTCTGGTCACACTTGATCGGACGCAGCCAGCGTCCGGTCACACTCCAGCTTCTGCGTCATCGTACGTCAGCCTGACCGGACGCAGCCTGCCAGCGTCCGGTGCATTTAGATCCAGCGTCCGGTCAGTTGACCGACGCCAGCATCTTCGCGACTAACTCGTTCTCACTTCTAACTTCTTCATCCTTGCTCCAAAGAGCCAACCACCAAGAATTTGTATCCCGCGCAATAGAAAATAGGCATACCATTTTCCCGAAAGCGTCGAATCCCGCCTCGCAAGCTCGGCGGGAGGGAGAGAGGGACCCAGACCCATCTCACCCCTGCAAACACCACCTCCTTTGTAAATGTGCCAACACCACCAAGTGTACACCACCATGTGTATGTGTGTTAGCATTTTCACAATCATTTCTCAAAGGATGTTAGCCACTCAACTTGCCACGCCACTCGATCCTAGCGACAATGCAAAGTTAGATCACTCGAGTGGCACTAGATGACCGATATGCAAACAAGTTTACCCCTCTTGATAGTACGGCCATCTATCCTAAACCCGGTCATAAACTTCTCTACACACCTATGACCGGTGAAATGAAATGCCCTAGGTTATACCTTTGCCTTGCGCATTCCATTCCATCTCCTTCAATGTCGATGCAACACATGCACCAACACGATCAACAATGATATGATCCACTTCATATCATCACGTGATCATATTGGTTCATCGATCTTGACTTCACTTGCCCTTCACCGTTGCCATCGTCCATCGGCGTCAAGTCTTGCTCAAGCTTCACCGCCACGCGGTCCATCACTCCAAAGCCTTCGACTTGCCCTTCATGCTTGCAACCGGTCCATCAAGCCAAGTCTTGTCTTGATCTTCTCCACCTTGATCACATGACTCAATGTCATGTCTCATGTGCAATAAGCTCCTTCATCATCACATGTGTGAGCTTTGCAACATCTCCAAGCCATTTTCACCTCCATGGCATATGTTGCTCATACACATGTACCTGTGGACTAATCACCTGTGTATCTCACATGAACACAATTAGTCCACCTAGGTTGTCACTTAATTACCAAAACCAACAAGGACCTTTCAACGCTGCCGATTCAGGGGACTTGGTGGCCCGTGAGTCTGGATGGATGAAAGATGACGGATGACCGGACGGAAAATTGGCACGACGTCACTGCACTTGCTCGATTTGCGTCGAGGTCATGGGCTTGGAGCTGTCAGTCTGGTGTACTACTCAGGGCTTCCTAACGCTATTTTTTTATTAGTACCTTAAGTGCTATGTAGGATTGGATAAAAAAAAGTAAGTACTCTATATATTTATTATAGTGGTTTATAGAAGCTTCATATGCTTAGAGAGAGGAGATGGTCCAGGTAAGAAAAGAAGAGTGAGAGAAAATAAAGATAAAGTAAAAAGAAAAAAGTTTCTTTGCAAACCACAATGATAATTTACCTCGTGTGAATAATAGTCTTAATATTTTTAGTCTGCTTAGCCCACACGAGTGTTAGCCCTCCGTTGTGATGCCCTCAGCGGAGGAAGCGTCGCCGCGCTCTCGTGCACTGCCCTGCAGATCGCGTCAGGGTCGACCATCAGCAGTACAAAACGTCAGCCTTTTTCCATACTGTTTGCGTTCTTCGTTCGGGGAAAATACAACAGTGAACGAAAAAGAAAAGATTTGTGCTTAACTTGGCCGAGAGGACGTGATCTGCAGGGAGGTAAAGAATCCTGGGAAAGTCAAGGGCGGTGCAGTATTATTCCTTGAGTTTTTTCGACTGATCCGGCGGGTCGATCCTTTTACCTGAGATGAGAATCCTAATGCAGATGCAACGGCTTTGCCCTCGACATTTAACGTTGAGGGGCACGCGAAGGTCTTGTTTAGTTGACGAAATTTTTTAGAAAATGGTAGTATAGTATTTTCGTTGTTATTTAGTAATTAATGTCTAATCATAGTCTAATTAGGTTTAAAAGATTCGTCTCGTGAATTTCGTCAAAACCGTGTAATTACTTTTATTTTTTATTTATATTTAATGTTTTATGCATGCGTCCAAAGATTCGATGTGACAGGGAATCTTGAAAATTTTTGCAAAATTTTGGGAACAGGCACCAATGACATCCCCAACAACGCCACCTAGGCAGGTCATGGATGTGAGATTTACAGCATGTTTGTTTGGCTGGGTTTGTTTGTTGCTGGATCGTGAAAAAGTACTGCTGGCTGGTTTGGTTTGAGAGAAAAATACTGTTTCGGTTAGAAATTTACGATCATTTACGAGGAAATAAGCCAGCCGAACATACTCTTACAAAGGGCTGGACAGCTGTTGGCAGTTTCCTTGATAAACTAGTATTTCTCTGTTAACAACAGCGACCGCATGGAACCCGTTACTTTAGATGTTAATGCAGGGTATATTCAGTATGCAGCCACATCCGCAGCCAAAAAAAAATCATAAACGGAAAATGCTGGCAATTCCTAATGCGATACATGAACTCTTCCAAGTAAAAAGGCCCGGTTCGTGTCATTTTGTTTCAGTAAAGTTTCTAACGCAATACTTGCAATGTAACTCAAGCAAAGGAACGCCGTACTTAGAAATCACGGAAACAAAACACACAAAACAGTTTTTTTTGGAACGTACACACACAAAAAAGATCAGTATGAGCACGGGATTTCCTAAGCCAACACACGGTTAGCTTATTGTCTATATTATTATTTATTTTTCTAAATAGACTACCGTGCTCGCTTACGTTGAAATTTAGCTTATGCTGATGTTTATATTAAAGTGGTGTAGAAGAAAAATATTATTGCATGACTGAAAAGTAGCGTTGAATAAGCTCATTCTCCCTAGCCTCCCTGTGCGTGCGTCCCTGCGTGGGGATTCATTGACAAATAGCCTGTTCGCTTGGTCATAAACGATCGTAAATTTCCAGCCATAACAGTATTTTTCTCTCACACCAAACCAACCAACAATAAATAATCCACGATCGTTTACGGACTCCCGAACATGCCAAAATCCCCCGAAACTTGAACTGAAAGCAATGTGCGTGTACTGACCTGCCATCGCCCATCGCCCATCGCCAACACCAACCTCCTGATGTCCAGGTCAAGTCCCAATCAGAGAGCTTCTCAACTCCGGCCCGGACGAGACCCTGTCTGCACGGCTGTCCGCTGTACTACTACTCGGAGACATTAGGCAGGTAGTACGCGTCCCAGGTCCATCGGTGCCGCCTGCGATTTTCTTTTCTTCATTCGTACACTTAGGGCGGTTTTCTATACTAATAAAAAAATAAATTACAGAATCCATTAATAAATCGTGAGACGAATTTATTAAGTCTAATTATTCTGTTATTAACACATGTGTTACTGTAGTACCATAATGTCAAATCATGAACTTCGTCTTGCAAAGTAGTCGTAATATGTGCAATTAGTTATTTTTTTAGTTTATATTTAATACCCTACACGTGTGTCTAAATATTCGATGTGATATGGTGTAAAGTTTTGGAGAGAAACTAAACAAGACCTTAATACTCTAGAAAATTACATGAGACATTATAATTTAGGATGGGCAAATTCCAACGCAAGAAATTACATGAGAGCTTAAATCATGTGAGCACGCTTACTTCGAACCGGATAGACATATATAATTCCACTAAAGAAGAATAACTTTGTTTTATCTTTTTTTTTAAAAAAAAAACACACGTAACATAAGTAAATTCGTCCTCCCAAAAACCGATTTTGCTCATGCCATTGTAAAGCGTAGACTGACGTTGAATTTTTGTTTACCCATGGAGTCTCCTTAACAATTCATCTCGCGTCGAAGGATGGATACAAAAAGTATAAGGTGGTAGTAGAGCTCAAGTCCTCGATTTATGATGGAAACCCACAGAAAAACAATAGAGAAAACCAAGATAAGTCCTGCCTAGTTACTCCCTCTGTTTTTTTATTAGATTTTGTATTAGCTTTGTCATAAGTCAAATATTTATATTCTTAATCATAAATTTCATAAAAATATATAGACTCATGTCATAAAATTTATATTTTAAGATTCACTATGACAAATACTTTCATAATATATAATTATATTGTTAAACTATAAGGATTTTTAAAAAATTGATTGGTAAAGATAATGATTTTTTTAGATCACGTAGTACAACATCGACGTCCATAACACGTACGCACACTCACCCCCTATGAACACACGTACTGTGGCCATATGAGAAAGATACTTATGCATTGTAATTTCTATCGTAGGAGAGCGAATTAAAGAGCGTGTTATAAGTTGCAAAGTAGAAACATAGCATGATGATCTATATAATCAATTTTCATCTTCTACCATTTGAATTTTAGATAGGCTTATATGTGAACTTTGAAAAGCTGTGGAATGTCAAATTCCAAACCAAAATAGTCTAGTTTATATTAAGTACATTCTAATTCTCTCAAAACGAAGGGATTCAAATGGCCTCTAAAAAATAATCCGTTAAAATCATACTATAGGCATACGTCTTAAGCATTTTCGTACTACCGTCAAATGATTTTCAAAAGTCATTCACGGGAGTACGATGGTGGGCTATTTTTGAAAATTTCACGTATCTGATGTGTATTTGTAAATTCCATGGTTATCAAGTGCATTTTATTATGTACTCCTACAAATAAAAATATATTATTAAAAGAAAAAGAATACAAAAAAATTTGTGGCCTGCGCCGGGAAAACAAGCCCTGCCCGCCGCAAAAACGAAACCCAAAACGGCGTGCGCTGGCCCCAACTCCGTCCGCTGCCCCCACAAGGTCACAGGCGAGGCAAACCCAACCACCCCACCCCGACCCCCGACCAAACCACCCGAGCCGGCGCCAGCCTAGCCCACGCTGTTGGCCTCCTCTCCCAGTCGCCTCGCCTCCGTCCCTTTCCCCCTCGGCGTCGTCAACCCACCGCACGTCCGCACCCCACCCCTACGGCCCTACCCTCTGCTGCTAGCCCGCAGCTCCCTCGCTTCCTGCACCCACCCCCCGCGGCGCTACCCAGATATCGCTCGCCGGTGGTGGCCTCCTCCCCCCACCCGCCGCTGGCGCCGCCGGAGCGAGGGGGACTGCGCAAACCCTAGTAGGACTTGCAGTAGAACGGGGAAGGGCGAGATCCGCCGGCGGCCGCCCCGATGGGGGACTTCAACGTGGCGCTGGTGATCGTGGCGGCGGTGGTGAGCGTGCTGGTGCTGCTCGTCAGCGTCTACCTGCTCGTCAACTACCAGCACCCCGACGACGCCAACCAGGCCTACTTCCCCAAGCTCGTCGTCGTGCTCGGCCTCACCGTCGCCGTCCTCGCCATCCTCATGCTCCCCGCCGACGTCGCCAACCGCCAGGCCTGCCGCAAGGCCATATACAACGGGGCTTGCAACCTCACGCTCCCCATGAAGACGCTCTGGCTCGTCGCCTACATCGTCGACGCCGTCCTCGTCTTCCTCGTCATACCCTTCGCCATGTTCTACTACGAGGGCGACCAGGACAAGTAACCTGCTCCCCCCTCGCCGCTTCCCTCCTCCTTTGCTGAAATGCATCTCTATCTCTTCTTCCGTCCGTCCGCCGATGATTGGATCCGCCTTGCTCTCTGCCCTGCAAGGTCCGTCGGGAAGAGGCTCAGGACCGCTCTCATGTGGGTCGTCGCGTCCGCGGTGGTGTGCGGCCTCGTCCTCGGCATCTTATACGGTGCGCGCGGATCAGTCCATGCTCCCCCCATTCCTATCCTCATCCCCCACACAGAATGCTCTTATGATTTCTCCAGGATTGGAGTGAGATTCTGAATACTACTAGCATTTTAATGTAGTTCAGTTCAAAAAAAAAAATGTGGCATCTTTTGCCCGAATCTTGTGGTCGATTCCAGCGTGTCCCTGCATTTGGGTTCGAATTGAAGCGACAGCTTTGAGCTCTGAACCTTCTTTTTTTTTTCTTGAGTTAGATCCGGAATTCAGTTCCCCTTGTTGCTGCCCCTCCGTGGATGGTTCTTCCTGTGCTTCATGAGCTTAGTTTAGGGGTACCACCAATTGAAGAAAAGCTTGTCCAACACCGGTTGAGATGGTTTGGACATGTCCAACGGAGACCTTCAGAGGCACCGGTGCGTAGTGGAATCCTAAGCTAGGATAGTAACGTGAAGAGAGGTAGAGGAAGACCGAAGTTGACTTGGGTAGAGGCAATAAAATGAGACTTGAAAGGATGGAATATATCCAAAGACTTAGCCTTAGATAGGAGTGCTTGGAAAACAGCTATTCACGTGCCTGAACCTTGATGGCTTCTGCTGGGTTTCAACTCTAGCCTACCACAACTTGTCTGGGACTTAAAGGCTTTGTTGTTGTTGTTGTGTATATGTGTTGTGGATTACATAGGCATTCCTTTACACGGGGATTTTATTTAGTTTACACAACAAAAGATTAGTTTGTCTCCTTTGGTTTTACAGTCATATGACTATGGGACAAAACTGTACTGCTTTTTTGATAGTTACATTGCATAGAATGGGTATGCCTTGATACAAACCTTATTTACCTTCTATACAGATCCTATTGCACAAATCACTGATCATTAACAACATGAGATGTTTACGGCTAAAATTTTATGTCATCTAGTGATCACCAGATATCATCAAGTTCCTAAGTTTCAGCAATGTTGAACCTTTTCAGTCTCGTGATGGTGTGTGTTTACCTAAGTAGGCTGATCCCATCTCCATTTTGTTGCTTCAGGACTTGTTGGTAAAGTGGACTTCACTGTCAGGCACCTATCTTCAACGGTCCAAACATTTCCAAACTCATTTTCTGGATTCTCAAGTGGCCAGCCTTGCTTTAGTCAATTGCCTCGTGTGGTTAGTCATTGATGGAAATATGGAATTACCCTTTTCTTTGTTGATGACTTTTAGTCTGTTTCTGCTCTCTGTCTTTACGTTTCACTGAACGAGTACTAGTCTCTGACTCCATCTATTTTTCAGTGTGCGGCTTCTACCGCACCGGCTAACTCGCAAACAACTTGGACAATGCGTGCTACCTTCCCTGAATATGTGGTTGCTCTTACTACAATCGTTGGATCTGTGCTTTTCACGGTGAGTTTAGTTTAAACTCAATGGCTTGTGTTATGGACATTTTTGGTATATGTATTGCTTTGTTCGAATTTGCCATATTTTTTTAGATATGATAAGTTGAATCTGAAATATGAACACTGTGCTCACCCCACCATTTAGTACTGCTGTAACCTGTAATCATGCTGTCATCTTTCTGCATTTTTTTCTTCTATTTTGCTGACTATATTTTTATTTGGTAGATATTTGGTGGTGTCGGAATTGCCTGCCTTCCATTGGGACTTATATTCTCATTTATCCGGCGTCCAAAAGCTGTAATTACACGCTCACAATATATAAAGGTGGGCCTACATTCTCATGTACACCATTTTGATCATAAAGGATGCTTGCCTCACTTGTGATCAATCTTTCTGTTGCTAGTAATTATTTGTATATCAATGCTTCCTTGAGGTTAAACATGTGCCCTGCAGGAAGCAACTGAATTGGGAAAGAAGGCCAGGGAGTTGAAAAAAGCGGCTGAAGCTCTTCACCAAGAAGAAAGAAGTGGGAACAAGGGCCGGAAATGGCGCAAAAACGTGAAGGCTTTAGAAAAGGTACACATTTTTATTAAAATTGCTCTTTCCAGGCATTGGAAATGTTTAGCTATTACTTCCACAAAAACAACCACGACCATATTTAGCCTTTTACATGTGGTGTTATAAAGTAACCCCAAGATATTAGTTAATGGCATATGTCCTTTACAGATGTCGGCATGCTACTTCAAATATGTACGTACCTAGCTATATATTTAGTGTAATGGTAACAACTTAGGTTCTTGAGGGTCTCTGCCTCCCTTTTAGCTACTGGGAACTCTGCAGTTTGCAATACTTAGTCTCATGTCTGTCAATGATCAGAATAAAGAAGATATCAATTTCAAATATTTGGTTTAAAGAAAAGTTCAAAGTATTTTAACATGTATTTATAGAAGTCATCGCATTTTGGAGTTTTGGTGGTTAACAAGTTCTCTAGTTGAGTTGGTATCCATGTGCATGCCACATGATGTTGTTCATATGGTACTTGGTCCTTGATTATTGTAGTGTAGACCTTTTTCCCAACGTTCCTGTCATACCTTTTTGTGTATTGTAGTGACACTAACTGCTAAGTTCAATCTTTCAAATATCAGGAGTTATTACTTCTGGAAGATGACATGAAGGCTCTAGAAGAGATGTATCCTCAAGGAGAACAGGTTATCCAACGTAAATTATCACGTCATACGCTTTTTTATGTTTAAGATTCCCTCCTTGACACCTGTTATGGCACAGGCTGAGGCTACTTGGGCATTCACAGTCCTTGGGTACATTGGAAAACTTATATTTGGTGTTGTTGGGTGAGTGCAAAACTTTTGTCCTGTACTTCTTGTCCTGTATCTTAATCAAGTGCACTTTCCAAAGTGATCTCTTTATAACGTTGTTGTGCTTGCAGGTTAATTGTTTCAATAGCTTGGGTTGCACATATCATCATATACTTGTTGATTGATCCTCCTCTATCTTCTTTCCTGAATGAAGTCTTCATAAAGTTGGATGGTGTTTGGGGTATCTTCTGATCTTCCATTCTTGTCAACTTATGCTGCTGATTAGAACAATCCAATTCATCTTCTGATTTATTTACCAGGTCTCCTTGGGACTGCTGCTTTCGCGTTCTTCTGCTTCTATCTCCTTATTGCAGTGATTGCTGGGGAGATGATGCTTGGTTTGAAACTTGTTTTCATCACAATTCACCCGATGAAGTAACCAGCTCATACCTTGGCATACTATTTTTTTTCTGCAGTTTTACTTATTATAAATCTCATCAACAAACCAATCAATTTGTTTCAGATGGGGAGGCACTTTAATGAACTCCTTCCTGTTTAATGTTGGGCTCATACTACTTTGCTCCATCAGGTAAGCCATCAATGCCTTCCTTACATGTTACGTTGTAACATATTATGAATTGTCGAAGGGTTTAAATTTCATTTTCACTTAAATTTCTGCAGCATGATTTGTATCTTTTCCACAACGGTTGAAACCGAATTTCATTACAAAACATGCAAGATCTGTATCTGAAATTGTTTTTAAGCTTTCATTTTGCAAGACAATCGTAGTCAGTTAGAATGATCATATTGGCATGTTCCTCAATCTACCATGGTGAATGGAACTAGAATTGTTTTTCTTATGTTGCATGCACTGAAGATGAAAATGACTTCTGTATGAGCATGAGTTTTGTTGATTTACTAGGTTTAAAGAAATGTCATAACCCTTCCATGAGTATTGACTGCCTATTTTTGTTGACTTTGTATTTCGTGATTTAAAACCCCTCTTAATCTAATTATCATAATTTTCCTGCTATTCTACGTGCAGTGTGATTCAGTTCTGTGCCACGGCTTTTGCCTACTATGCACAAGCAACTGCTGCTCAAGAGATATTTGGCCACACATTGCAATCCCTTCGTGGAATTAAGTATCTTTACAAGTGAGTCTCAAATGAAGAGTGAAATTAGTTGCTTTGTTTACAGGTGTTGCAGACATTTAAAACTTGAATGTATTTTGATACTTGAACCACAAAATATGCAGGTACAATGTTTTCCAGTATGGCTTTGTTGCTCTTGCCATCCTCACACTCTTCTACTATGCTATATTTGTAAGTCCTTTTCATCAAGTGCTTAGTCAATAGTCATTTACATTAATAACTATAAAAGAAATAAGGTTTGACTGTATGTTATTATCAATACTTGTTAGGGATGGAGAAAGAGGAAACCAACAGGAAGGTTCCAGCTCTCAAATTGATTTGCTCTGTAAGTGAAGCTTGACGGATTCATCATATTTGCCCCCAGAGTGATAGTTCAGTTAGCGTCTTAGGGATGTATATGATCAACCAAACGAAACCAAATCATCTTGAGTTGAGGAACTGCAAACTGTGTAAATTATCAACTATGAGACCTCGAAGGCGAGAATGGGGAAACTGTTGGTTACCACGGACATGGATGTTGAGGTAGAACCCAGTTGACTTTGCAGTGTACACATTTCTCGTATCGGCTCTTCATTTACGTCTGTATTATTGCTTTATGATTGGCTGGTGATGTTATTCGTGAGAGATGTTTGGTGTGTTTGGGGGCGCTTTGCCCCCGTTGATATTCATTTCTTGGCTGTGTCCGGAGTTAGATCAGTTCATTGCTTTTATATGTATTATATACTGTGATTACAACACAAGGTTCTAGGTTGTATTAATGATTTCTTGATCATCCTTGTGTCTGTCTGTGATCCCTGCTTGCGTGTCAACTATGAGCTTATCCATTGTTGGCTGTTGCCACTGCCAAACAAGGCTGTTTATCAGTTCTATTGTGAAGCCTGCTATTGCGAAGAATTGCCCGCGTTTGTCTCTTGCTAGTGCCACTCGTTGATATGGATGTCTCATCTATAAAGCCTTGAATGCGCAGAGTTTTTTTTTCTTTTTATAATAACTTGTTATGTGTATTATATGGGGGATATAGTGTTATTATATGTTGGAAGCAGCGTTACAAAATTATCTGCAAAGGAGATGGTTAAGAGAAAGATCTTTGCCAATTTCTACTTTTAGGGAAGAGCCAAATATACCACCCCTACAGACACTATTGTTTCAGCTTGTTCGGCTGATCCGGAATCAGCTTGTTCGGCTGATCTAGAATGAGCTTGTTTCAACTTATTCTTCTTTACATAACACTATTGAATCAGCCGAAATCAGTTAAAAACTGATCAGCCGAACGAGCTGTTAAGGGTTAAACATACACTATCAAATTTTCTATACGGAAGGGCTAAATATACACAAATTTTACTGATAGGGTATAGGGTATACAACTACTAGCAAACTTGTACTGATAGGGAAGGACCAAATATACAACCACTAGGTACAATGGTACAAAGTGTACAGATGTAGCAAACTTGATTGTAGAAAAAATGGTACAAAGTGTAGCAAACTTGATTGTAGAAAAAATAGTTAAATGCACCAGAGATCCATTAACTTCTGAGGAGGTTTCAGTTAGATCCATCAACTTTCAAAATAGTTTTTTGGTCCATAAACTTTGTACGTGGTATCACTTAGGTCCGTACCTCTCCACATTGGCTTCTCATGCTAACGTGGCATGATGAGTAGGCTCAATGCAACAGTGATTACCCTCCGTATGCAGCTCTCATGTCCATGAGGTTCCTGACCCTGGACCAGTCGATGCCCAGGCCGTTGAGGTAGGACCCGTCGACGACGCGCCACCAGTGGTCGTAGTCCACCGTGAAGTCCTCCGGCGCCGGCTTCCCGTACACCCCGGCCTGCGAGCCGTTGAGCCAGTACGGCGGCGTCCGCACCCGCCGCGGCCACTCCGAGGGCCACCGCGCGCCGCGCTCCGACGGGCCCGTCGGCACGCGGTGCACGCACGAGTTGAGCCGGATGTACCACGCCGCGTTCGCGTCGTCGTCGTCGGCGCACATCGGCGGCTGCTGCCGCTTCCTGGCATCGTAGCACTCGTTCGTCGTCGGTCTTCGGAGATGCCGACGGCGGCGATGGCGACAAGCCGGCCGTGTCGGAGTCGGAGTACACGGGGGGCGCGGACGGAAATGCCAGTCAGGACGACGGCCTCGGCGTCGAGGACTCGCTCGTCGCCGAAGACCGCGCGGAGGAGCAGAAGGCGTGGGCGACGCAGGCCGACGAGTCACACCGGGAAACGGACCGCCGCGAGGAAGGCGGCGAGAACGACGGCAACGGCGCGGAGAACGGCGGCGGCGAGGAGCACGAGTGGCGGGTGTGCAATGTGAAGGCCGGCGCCGACTACATCCCGTGCCTGGACAACGAGAAGGCCATCAAGAAGCTGCGGCCGGAGAACTTCCGGCGGTACGAGCACCGGGAGCGGCACTGCCCCGACGAGGGCCCGACGTGCCTCGTCGCGCTCCCCACCGGCTACCGCCGCCCCATCGAGTGGCCCAAGAGCCGAGACAGGGTACGTCCGTCCGCGTCTCTGAATCTCCATGCGGCAATGCATTGCTGACTCGTGGCCGTTCGTCGTGCCGGCGGCGACGTACGTGCAGGTATGGTACAGCAATGTCCCGCACACGAAGCTGGTGGAGGTGAAGGGCCACCAGAACTGGGTGAAGGTGAGCGGACAGTACCTGACCTTCCCCGGCGGCGGCACGCAGTTCATCCATGGCGCGCTGCACTACATCGACTTCCTGCAGCAGGTACCATGCATCACCAATGGCCAATGACCAGGCCATGGTTTGTTTGTTTGTTTCGTTCGCTCCGGTAGAAAGTGTATGTAGAGTAAGGAGGTTACTCTGCGTTGTCTGGCCAGTCCGTCCGCGCCGTCGCGTGGGGGAAGCACACGCGGGTGGTGCTCGACGTCGGCTGTGGCGTGGCCAGCTTCGGCGGCTACCTGTTCGAGCGCGACGTGGTGACCATGTCGTTCGCGCCCAAGGACGAGCACGAGGCGCAGGTGCAGATGGCGCTCGAGCGCGGGATCCCGGCCATCTCCGCCGTCATGGGATCCAAACGCCTGCCTTTCCCCAGCAAGTCGTTCGACCTTGTCCACTGCGCGCGGTGCCGCGTCCCATGGCACGCCGACGGTGCGCCGCGCCGCCTCCCCCATTCCACTTTGCGTCCTCCTTGTCCGAGATCCCTTGCTGACGATGCCGAGATTGCCGTGTCCCCGTGTAGGTGGCGCTCTCCTCCTGGAGCTGAACCGCGTCCTGCGCCCCGGCGGTTTCTTCGTCTGGTCCGCCACGCCGGTGTACCAGAAGCTGACGGAGGACGTCGAGATCTGGAAAGGCACGTAAAGTTCCGACCACTCGCCGCGATGCCATGCCATGGCCATGGCCATGAACCGATCGAACAGAGCCAGCTGTCGGGGTGGCCTTCTACCGGAAGCCGACGACGAACGAGTGCTACGATGCCAGGAAGCGGCAGCAGCCGCCGATGTGCGCCGACGACGACGACGCGAACGCGGCGTGGTACATCCGGCTCAACTCGTGCGTGCACCGCGTGCCGATGGGCCCGTCGGAGCGCGGCGCGCGGTGGCTCTCGGAGTGGCCGCGGCGGGTGCGGACGCCGCCGTACTGGCTCAACGGCTCGCAGGCCGGGGTGTACGGGAAGCCGGCGCCGGAGGACTTCACGGTGGACTACGACCACTGGTGGCGCGTCGTCGACGGGTCCTACCTCAACGGCCTGGGCATCGACTGGTCCAGGGTCAGGAACCTCATGGACATGAGAGCTGCATACGGAGGGTAATCACTGTTGCATTGAGCCTGGTCATCGTGCCACGTCAGCATGAGAAGCCAACGTGAAGAGTTATGAACCTAAGTTATACGGCGTACAAAGTTTATGGACTCAAAAAACCATTTTAAAAGTTGATGGACCTAACTGAAACATCATCACAAGTTAATGGATCTCTGATGCATTTAACTCTAGAAAAAAAGAGCACAGATGTAGCAAACTTGATTGTAGGGAAAAAATCAAACAAGCAAGGTCTTACTAAACATATTTCAAACAAACATATAGCATGATGCATTAGCTCCTGAGCAATGTGACTGCATGATGTAAGGAAAGAATGACTCTTTTCTCAATGCATGAATAGCGTGAAGAATTATGGACCAAAACTTCAATTGAACCAACTGCCTGGCACCGGCAAGGACCATGCAGAATGTTATAGTTTCCGAGCAAGCTGTTAACAATGCAACTAGCATGAACAAAATGTCGGGCGTGAGGCAGTAGTATATGTACTAACAATGGAAGGAATATGCACGTGCTTCTACTATCTTGACTCATCACGAAGTAGTGATGAAGTTCAGGTAAACATAACAAATCATAAATCACTGAGACAAGCAATTAAGTTCATATGAGTAACTACTGCCTTGAAAAAAATACTCCCAAAGCATCTCTTGCTCCTACTCTAATAGTAATAGCCCACATGGAGGCAGCCCTTTCAAGGGAGTAAGAGAATGTCAGGAACAGGCTATACACAAATAATTTTTACAACCACATCCTATTTTTTTTTCTAGGGGCAGTGGCGGAGCTGGTGAAAATCCACACCTAGAGCCACTAAGCGCCTAAGCAATTCATAATGGGCTCTACTGATAGTTCACATAAGCAACGGATAAAATAATAATTTAGAATATATATCAGTTCACATAAGCACAAATGTACAGTAAACATGATAAAATGAATTTCAATGTCTTGGTCCTCTTCATTGTGTAATTAATTATAGTAAAACACTACAAATTGATGGGAAATATTAAATTAGCTAAGTATCCTTGCAATTGGAATTGTGCCTGAAGTTCTGAATAGGTAATAATAGTTCAAGAACTCTCAAAACCTCTAGTATATATCTATATACCTAATAATAAAGAGGCAAAATTTCTCTCCCCTTATTTTTTGGTCCGGCCATCCCTAACTAACTTTGTGAATGTGGAAACTGTCTTTGTTACGTGTCTACGACCCTCCTAATTTATGACATATATGTTGGGACTTGCTAATCCTAATCCTAATCCTAATCCAAATAGATTATTCAGACCCTAATAAGTACCTGAATAGGAATCATAATCCAATCCAAATATACAAACAGATATATATATAATGTATATGCCTAATAATATAATAAAGAGCAAAATTTTTTTAACAACCATGACACAAGTTGGTTTCCTATACATGTATCTCTGATTGCAAACGCACTTTCAACAAAAAAATGTAACCTTGCGGATCCGACGAGACCGGCCGGCCGGGTGCCCGGGTCATGTACGAACAAGTACAAGCAGCGACGGAAACAAATTCACGTACAACAAAAACTCATGATCAACCTATCAAAAAAAAGTCATGATCAGAAGATTTATTAGGAAGTAGTTCTGATTGTGTTCGGTATATGCAGAACAATCCTAATTGATATGTTATTATGACATGACAAACAATGATCCCCTCCTTACTCACGACGCGACCATGGGCACGCACGAGTTGGGCTGTCAATATGCACGCAACGACAACGCCCAGCATGTTGACAAGATGTTTCTGAAAAAAAACATGTTGACAAGATTGTCACCTGATTCGCCTGCGGATTCTCACCATCGGTGATAATGGCACCGCCGTACCACGACGATTGTATGCTGGTTTCAGCTCTGCCCTCCTTCGTCTCTCCCCGATAGAGACGACGAATCATTATCATCGTCATCGTCATCATATGCATCGTCGAGTTCACGTATGGCCGCCACTGAGGTGATGGTGGATCCAAGGCGGAGGACAAGGAGATGACCCTCCCGTGCGTCGCGTTCCCATTCCATCACGTCATGGGTACATGGTCTTCTCCCAGCTCATCGAGGATCGCATGCGCGACGGTGTCTAGCTGCGCCCGATCACAGGATGCCACGTCGTGCCATCCCCGTACGGTGGGGAGGTGCTTGCCACGGACCATGTCGTCTTTTAGGCACCCGTTCCGCCTTGTCGACCCGTTTAGGCACCCGTTCCGCCTTGTCGACCCGTTCACCAACGAGAGTCTGCGCCACTCCGGGACCTGCCCGTCAAACTCTGGTACAAGGAGCCACTATCAGTGCGAGCGCCGTGCATGCTGGGACGCTGCCGCACGGGTCCGCCCACCGTAGACGGCTTCGCGTGGGACCCATCCCCGTGCGGCGTCATGATCGCACGGGGCGATACAATGTTTTTTTGTGAGGGCGGTGGCGAGTGGATGAGACTGTACCGGTCGACAACCACATCGGGCAAAAAGTAAAATTGTCCGAAACCAAAACCAAAACTAAAACCAATTTCAAGTCATAGAAGATTATTAAATTTCCAAACAACGCATATCACGTCTTCACAAAACAAGAATCCGGAGTCCGGATCTATCGATTTTTTTTTTAATTTTAACACTTTTTGAAAACTAATTTTAAATCTAACATTGTCGGGTTTTTTTTTAAACTAACATTTTTGGTTGCGCCTATTACCCTGGCGCAGCCAAATGCATGTGCCGCGCCATACATGGTGGCGCGGCAGCGGGCTAACGTGGCAAAGCAACCATCACATCTGCTGAAAATTTGGAATGACGTGCGCATTCATTGCTCTGCTTCCATGCCTAGCCACCGCTCCAGCGCTCCTACACAGCTCCACCATCATCCAACGCTAGACTTGTTTTTTATTTTTCTATTCAAAAAGTGATAGGACATGGATGATTGATGTCCGATTGGGTAGAGTAGGAGGCTATAACGTCAATACTTTTGGGAGACGAGGAAAGGATTGAAACTTTCGGCGCGTCCCAGAGGTCAGACAGCGACAGGGTAGCAGGGCCAACCGGACACGGCAGCGTGGTTCATGCGGGCGCGCGCGCGACACGCAGCCGCGGCGCCCGTGCCGAGCCCCGCGCGGGCATGCCAGGGCTAGGCGACCAGGGCGCGTCGCTGCCGCGCCACGGATCAGGGCGCGGCACTGCCACGCCAAGATCAGTGGCGCGGCAGGCCCTGCCACGTCAGCAGTCAGCGAATCCGGTCGTCGCCACGTCAGCCCGCTGCCGCGCCACCATGCATGGCGCGGCACAGGCATTTGGCCGCGCCAGGGCAATAGGCGCGGCCAAAAGTGTTAGCTTAAAAAAACCGACAGTGTTAGATTTAAAATTAGTTTTCAAAAAGTGTTAAAATTTTAAAAAAAAAACTCGATCTATCACGGTGGATACATTGGTATATTAGGACCAGAATATAAAGAAAGCATGTTTAAACATCAGTTAAACGTTTTGTTTTATCACCTACGTCATCGGGAAACTGAAACCTGTATTATCACCCAAGCAAACAGCGCGGCATATATCTCCAATAATAGACCATCTATCCTTGCACACAAGTGAGAACAAAAATAGTGCCAGACGAGAACAACGATGGAAGAAAGAATAGAGGGAGAAAAACATGGAATTCAACTATGCCACCCACGAGCTATCGCGTGGAGCTACCACGTGTAGGCTACCCTGTGACACGCAATGCGTGTCCGTAACAATACATACTCTGATTTTAAAATATATGAAAACCGTTGCAACGCACGGACACGTGTGTTAGTATATCATAAAATCCAATCTTTCCACTTTCTATCAATATAGCTTAATAATGAGTAATATAAGAAACATGACTAAGCAAAGTCGCATTCAGGCAATCCTATTGTGCCGGATCAAATAACTTAAGCAAAATGCCAGAAAAGAAAAAAAAAACTATTCTAGCATACAGAAAGATGAACTTATTTAGATGCTGTATTTTAGTACCATCTTAAACAAGCGTAGATCAATGAATAACAATAGGAACATTTTAGAAAAAATATCACCCGTTACTAACGAGTAATCAAGAAAATCAGAATGGGTCATGCCTTAAAAGGACACTGCTGGAAAACAGAAACACTCCGCCATGGGCGTCCGTCCCGTCGAACGCGGCTCCCAGTCCTGCTTCCCTCCTACGCAGCGGACCAACCTCTATATAAAAAAGAAGAATTCCCTACTCGGGCTGTGGTGTCCTCCTCAGCTGCTCCAAGCCCCTTAGCGCACCACACCTCCGGTCGACCCCGCCGCCGCAAGGTCCCGCAGCCGGGCGCTCTCTTCCCCCGCTCCCTCCCTAGCATGAAGTGCTTGCTTCGGTGTCTCTCGCGTGGCCGGCCCTTCCCGCGCCGCTCCTTCCGGCGAGGCACCCGACCCCTTCCCTCACTGTTCCGCACGCCAGCACCGCACCACCATCCAGCGCCGCGCCCCCTTCTACCTCACCCGTTGCGAAAGGGGAGGCAGGGGACGCCTGCGCCTGGGGAGGCCTATGCCGACGCCTGCGCCCCCATCCACCTCGCGTCGTCGGTAGGAAGGGAAGGCCTGCGCCATCGCACTTCCCCACCAGGTAGGCCATAGCCGCTGCTGTGTTTTTCAAGTGTATTTAGGCGTTTTCAGACATGTTGTAAGCTTATATTTCAAGTGTTTCAGAGATGTATGTTTCAAGTATTTCATACTGATGTTGCAAAAGTAGATCGGGATGTTGCACATGTTGTAATGGCTATATACGTATATTTCAAGTGTATGTTCCAAATGTTTCATCTGTTCTAGATGAATGTTGCATGTGTTTTATCTGGATGTTGCATATGCATGCATAGTGCAAGCATATGTTTCATGTTTTTTATGTGTTTCATACGTATGTTTGCAAGTGTTTCATCTGGATGTTGCATATGTTTGCAATGGTTTTTAAGACGTTTTCGCAAGTGTTTTAGACGCTTGTTTCAAATGTTTCATCTGTCTTCTTTTATATGTTGCAACTGTTGCATCTGGATGTTTCAAAAGTAGATCGGGTGTTGCAATATAATGGAATGTGTGTGGAAAGCGGCCGGTGGCGCGGACGATGTTCGGGGTGGCACGGGTGATGTCCAAGGCGGCGCGGATCCACTACTGGTGTACTTGCTCGCGAGCTCGACTCGCTAGGTGCTCACTCGCTCCCTGTGCGGGCAGTGTGAGGACGCTAGCGCCCAGATCGGACGTGCGGGTTCTAGCAAGTCCCTTGGGAAAATTAGGAGGATGGAGTATGAGGCCTAAACACTGACATGCTTGCTTGATTCTGTCGTCCGGCCGTACGAACGAGCCAACGCCGATTGCCGGCCACCAAGTTGCACGGCGCGGTGCTCCCGTGCCAAGTCGCACCCTTTCCGTGCCATTACCTCGATTGGGCTGCTTTATCTCTCCAAAGACTAAGTCGATCAGATAAAAGAGCAGCGGGTGGTCGATGCGGGAGCAGCTAGGATACCAACATGGAAGGCAGGCCTGATCAACGCCGCCGGAAGGGTGACGCTGACCAAGACAACCCTTTTGGCCTTTCCATTTGTTCAGATCAAATCTGTCATACCTATAAAGGTCTCCAACTCTCAATCCACAAGAGTGCCGCTGGATTTATGGCTGGCGCAACCTGCTCGACAGATCCACGGTGGACATGGCAGGATCCATGGCAGGGTGGGCTGGACTATGACGCGAAGGCCATGGATGAGGCAGTGAAGACAGATGTGTGTTTCATATCCATTAATAATCCAAGTATTATTAATGGTACTCATAAATCTTTTCATATGTTGGGTCATAT